GAGAGAGAGAGAGAGAGAGAGAGAGAGAGAGAGAGAAAGAGAGAGAGTATATGTAAAGCATTCTATATAGATCTAAATGTGAGTCTAAACGGATTTCCGCAACTTAATTCTAATGGCTGTCTGAGCTACAGGAAAAATGGGAAAACAATAATGATGGGCAATTTATCCTTATTACATTTGTTGCGTTCAACCTCTTTCTGCAATACGAGTGATTCTCTCCTTTTTCCCACCCCTCTTCAAGCTGCCAGGGTCAAAGTCAACCAAGGGCAGCCATTCAGCAGGAACTCACATAAACACCTAGGGATGAATGAGTTACGGGCCGTGGCACGAAAAAAAAAGATAAAAAGTCTTTGAGTGTTGGAGAAAATAAACAGCCAAAAAACGTCACTAACACAGGTTTTATTAAGTTTGTTCAACCGTTGTATCATGGACGTTTCTTGCCTTAAAAGAGAGTATTTTGCGGAATTAGTTCACTTTCTGGCATAAACTGAACAAAACAAATACGTGACATTGGAAGACGCACGTTGTCATAAGATTGTAAGATTAAGTACGATGTGAGGTAAACGGCACTTGCAACACAATAATTGGTTCGAATCTGTGCCGGGAGTTAGAGGTACCACTTGAGAGTAACATACAAAGAAAAGGAGGAGAGATAAAGATGATAGGGTGCTGGGCAGGGGAAAAAAGGAGCCAACTACATCAGAGCACCCACCAACCACCCATCTTTTGGTGTACGGCACACATGTGTTTTAGCTTTGAGTCAGTGATGTTTCTTTGCGTTAAAGGAGTGTATCGTATGGTGTTTGTTCAATTTCTTCCTCAAAGATACAAACAGAAGCAAGACAATAGAAGCGAGGCATGTCACTACAATATTGTTATGTAACTGACGAGAAGACAAAATGGAGTGCCAAGTACTCACTAGGTGGCGGTGCCGTCCCGGAGAAGGAGCGCCAGTTTCCGTTGTCGTTGTTCACGTCATCGTTCCCGTAAACGTAAACATTGGTAGAGCTGTGGGAGAACATGAAGAGGCGTGAGTCGTGCAAGAGTGAAAAAGTATGAGATAACGTCTATTTAACTCAATGAAGAAGCGCTGTTTGGGGTGTTGTTGTTTTTTAAGTCTGAAACTTAAAAATGTAGACAACAATATGCACACAATTACATTTGCAGAGCAGTGCTTCTGATTCTTTGTGTATGAATGTTTGAAATGTGTTGCCAGATTGTCATTCCTCTGCTGTTGAACGGGCATTATTATTTTGTCTGCATCGTACTTAAATAACTAACTATAAATCATCAATGTTTTACGTCCACCATCGACTCAAGTTAGATCAGTCAGGAAACTGGCAGTTCTTACACTGCTAATTATGATACAACATTCTGTCAGGAAGATGAAGACATTTGATAACATCCACACAGAGGAATGAGACGAAGTGATTAGGCTCTCAGACTCACAACCGTGAGGTTTTGGGCGCGAATCTCTTCAGGGGCCCAACATCGTTTCCTTAGGAATAGCACTTTACACGAATGCTTCTCATTTCATCCAAGTGGGAATGGGTACTCAGCTATTATAGACATTGAAAGATCTTATCAGTTTGTTAGTGTTTGAGCGCTTGATTAGCTACTTGCACTGTAAGCTTTCCGGGAAGCTGACAATGTCTCTGAGTATTTTATAGTCTGCTGGGGTAATAATATAGTGTAAAACGCAAAGAGCTTGCTGTCGAGTGAGGATATGCCCTATACAATAATAATAATAATAATAATAATAAAAATGGTAATAATAATACATTATTATTATTGTTGTTGTTATTGTTATTATTATTATATTGTTGTTGTTGTTGTTGTTATTATTATTATTATTATTATTATTATTATTATTATTATTATTATTATTATTATTATTAAATGCTTTATTATAACAGTGAAGCGCCTAACCATTACAACAGATACACTTGCAGGTTTCTAATAAATCCTACAAACGACAAGACAATATATACGCAGGAAGGGACGAGATTTGGATGCACCAGCAACCCTTTCTAGCCGCCCTGTTCTGTGAGACAGAAAGAAAAAGGGCTATAAACAGAACATATAGGTTACAAATGATCTATCACTGTCACACCTGTAAAATAGTAAAACATCCTTTACACATTTTAAAAAAAATTTTCAAACGTATTGACCATATTGTATCTTCTTTGAAGTACATGTACACCAAGGAAGCCAAAATCTGAAGGGAGGGAATTAATATTCGGAAAATAATTTTTCGTACTTTCCCCATCTACCTATCCGGCAAAGTTGTATCATGCATGCCGCCTTAATATTGTCTGGCATCTGGAAAAGCGAATACGCTCCAAGGCTAAAAGGCCAAAGGGCCAAAAGGTCAAAAAGGGAGCATGCCCATTGGTGTAATTTTAATATCAGTTAAACGCCCCTTTTAACACCCAAAGGTTATATAAGGGGCAGGACATCCGAACTTAACATGCATCTCAGTTTCAATCACGCTACACTACGGATCCGAACAAAAGACTGTCGCACCATGGCTCATCATTATACCCACTTAATTTCTAGGCGGGTGAGGGTGGGGAAAAGGGGGGGGGGGGGGGGGAGGTGGAGAAAGAGAGGGGGGTGCATGCAAATTTCAAAGAGGAGAACCAAATTCCACAGGAGCGGTGTTCTTTTCACGTGGGCCCAACCGTAAAGTTATGCACCCGGTCGCCTAGGATGTCGTACTTAGGTGCGCTGTAACTGTTCATGTCATACAAGCGACTTCGTATTAGCATCGTGTGTTGCCATTCTCTTTTGGCTCTAGCAGAATTTTTTAAAAATAGATTTGAAAACAGGTAACATACACAACTTAAGGTTCATTAACCTTGAGCAAATGAAAAAAAAAGAAAAAGCTATGGGAGTGTCGATGGTATAATATGTCTTTCCAAAAAAATGCTTACTTTAAGGGTCTGTGGACGCTTTCAGAATTTTATTAAGGAAGATGATAAAGAATTGCAAATTCTACAGGATTGTTTTTTAGCTTAGAATTTGGAAAGTGGACATATCATTGTTATCAAACGCTTTATCTGTAATGAATCGTTGAACTATGAATCTTTTTAAAGTCTTTGAAGATACCCCGGCTTCTTGGTGGTATCCATTAAGACATCAAAGCGGGCATTTGATTGAATCATGGATGGGTAAAAAAGTTTGAAATTCTTATCCCATGAACAACCGTCATTGGACCTTGCGTTAAGAAGCGAGAATCATTGCATGTCCATTCTCACCCCCTCTCCCCTTTCCCCTAAAGACATTATGGGTAGTTGGAGGGTGCCGCTGGTGGGTTTTACTCGTTATCTTTCCTTCTGGTGTTTTTGTTTATCCGTCTTTTTTAAATTTCTAGCACCAGACAGCACTGGCGCTTCTCTTTGCTCAAACTGTTTTGGTGGCCCTGCGTCCCTTAATGGTAATATTTGTATCACACAATCACTGACTATAAGAATGTGAGTAAATATAAGTACAATGATATTTCAACATTAAGCGAAAACAATAAAAGAGCTTTACTTAAATTCAAATTCAAACCCGGTGACATAGCCAAATCTTACTCGATAGTGTCGGTGGTTGGCGGGTGCTATTGTGTGGTTTGCTCCTTCTTTCCTAACAAATATCCGTCCCTTTTTCTCCTCCTTAATTTTGTATGTTCCCCTCCAGTAACATTACCTCAAATCTTCGACACTTACTGCCCTAACTGTGCTGCAAGTGCCTTAAAACTTGTATTACCTCTTTTGAAACCCTGTTAAAAATACAAATTTATATATTTTTAAAAAGCCTTACCCGTAGCGGCCTCCGGGTCTGTTGCGGAAGCGGCTGCGGATTCTCTCCATAAAGTCATCGCCATCGTCGAAGTGCAAGCCTCCGCCCCAAGAGCTGGACCCGCCCCCAAAGGCGGACATACCTCCGTGACGTCTACCGGGGGACCCGTGGCGGTGGTGGTGGTGGTGGTCGTGGTGATGGTGGCGGTGACCATGGTGACCGTGGTGGTGACGCGGCATGATGTTGGTGGTGGAGTCGTAGGTCTACCCCGGAGTACTCTGAAGCTGAAGGTTTGGCGTGGGAGGGATGAGGTCAGAATCTGAGGTGACGTGATGCGATTTCCGAAGCAGAGAAGAACAGTCTGGAATAAAAAAGAAAAAAAATGTCATATTGTAGTTTAGTGATGGGTTGTTTGTTTGAGACGCGCATCGACATAAAAGTTGTCCCTTCGTTAAGTAAAGGTTAGTGTCAAAAGTAACAATGACAATTGGGACGCATGTATAGCTCAATTCAAATGGCACGGCAACGTCATACAAAAAGTACTATGATAATAATCAGTGCAGGAAAGTTAACAAACACTCTATCATTGCTTACAATTTAGCAGCGTTCTACTTTTGGGGAAGGTTAACCCTTGCTAAAAACACCCACTCGCAGTGACCTCCTGTCTGAAAGCTGTATCATAAATGCGGCTTGACAGTATTTCATCGGCAAGATGTTAAAATACTCAGAACGTCCAAGTTATAGGAGAGAGAATAAAGAAAAAACAACTGCTCTATTCTTTTTTAACAATAGTACCTACGTTATGCTTTTTTTATGCAAGGAATTTCGATAAAATATTTCTTGGGCACACACAAGCGATACCACAGATTGAGAATCTGCAC